TTTTTTTTTTTTTTTTTTTTTTTTTTTTTTTTTTTTTTTTTTTTTTTTTTTTTTTTTTTTTTTGGGGTGCGGATGAGGGGAGGTTTGTCTCTGGATAGATTTATGTGTGTGTATGTATTTTATTTATTTAATAAGACATAACAGCAATCATATTGCTGCTGCTAGTACTGCTGCTGCTGCTGCTATTGCTGCTGCTGCTACTGCTACTGCTGCTGCTGCTATTGCTGCTGCTGCTGCTATTCCTGCTTCTGCTACAGCTACTGCAGCTGCTATTGCTGCTATTGCTGCTGCTATTGCTGCTGCTATTGCTGCTGCTGCTGCTGCTATTCCTGCTTCTGCTAAAGCTACTGCAGCTGCTATTGCTGCTATTGCTGCTGCTGTTGCTGCTGCTATTGCTGCTGCTGCCACTGCTCCTGCTGCTGCTGCCGCTGCTCTTGCTGCTGCTGCTGCTGCTGCTGCTGCAGGTACCTCTTTTGGAGTGTTTGTATAGGTATTTTTCGTCTCTCATAAACTGGCCGTAGATGCTCTCCCCCCCGTAGCCGTTGCCTCGATGGAAATCTCCTCCCTGCGCCATCTGCAGCAGCAGCAGCAGCAGCAGCAGCAGCAGCAGCAGCAGCAGCACGAGCCGCAGCAGCAATAGTTGTAGAAGAATGTTCATGCATCTATCTGCTGCAGCAATCGAAGCAGCAGCAGCAGCAGCAGCAGCACTAACCGAAACTTAAAACACTAAACTATGAACCTGCTGCTGCAACCAAAACAGCAGGAGCAGCAGCAGCAGCAGCATCAGCAGCAGCAGCAGCAGCAGCAGCAGCAGCAAACTCACGAAGCCAGGGATGATGCGGTGGAAGGGGGAGCCTTTGTACCAGCGGGGCCTCATGTAGTAGCCGAGGCCTGTCTCTCCTGCGGTGTACATACACCCCAAGTATTCACATGCATGCATGCATGCATGCAGTTGCACATGCTGCTGCTGCTGCTGCTGCTGCTGCAGTTGCTGTTGCTGTTGGTGCTGTGGCGGCGGCTGCTTCTGCTGCTGCTGCTGTACGCAGAGATTACTCCGCTCTTTAACTGATACGGCTTAGAGGACTACTGCTGCTGCTGCTGCTGTTGCTGCTGTTGCTGCTGCTGCTGCTGTTGCTGCTGCTGCTGCTGCTGCTGGACGTACCGGTGCATAGACAGCGGAAGTTTTCTGCTGTTATGGGCAGCTGATCCGCGAAGAGCTGAGCAGCAGCAGCAGCAGCAGCAGCAGCAACAGAAGCAGCAAGAGCTTATATACAGCAGCAGCAACAGCAGCAGCACGAGCAGCAGCAACGGGAACAACAACAGCAGCAGCAGCCTAAGCAGCAGTTCTAGCAGCAGCAACAACAGCTCGAGCAGCAGCAGCAGCAACAGCAACAAACACCAGCTGCAACAACAGCATCCCCAGCAGCAGCAACAGCAACAGCAGCAGCAGCAACACCAGCAACAGCAGCAGAAACAACAACAGCAGCAGCAGCAGCAACAGCGGCAGCAACAACAACTGCAGCAGCAGCAGCAGCAACACCAACTGCAGCAGCAGCAGCAG